AAAAAACACATAATTTGAAACGAAAATAACAAATACAAAAACACACGAAACACTAATCTCTGGCTGCTTTGGTTAAAGCGGCGGGCAGACGAATCCGGGCGGCGGCGTCAGCCCACAGGTGGCCAGCACCGACAGTGCCAGCGGCAGGAAAATATTGAGATTTAGAAGCTTAAGCCTTATTGTGGTGCAGAGGCAAAGCGCCGCCTCGAGCTCGAGCAGGCCTTGCAGCACGGGACAGCATATGTTCTCCTCCGGATTCCCTATTCCGACGTGTATCAGCCCACCGAGAACGTCCAGGCAGAGCCCCAGCTTCAGGGCGTCGATCGGGCACGTGGCTGCCGGCGGCGGTCCGGGGACCGGCCGACCGCCGCCGCCGGGAGGTGTGTAAGGCGGGTAAGACGGTGGGGGACATGTGACCGGCGGCGGAAGGACGGGCGGCGGGAGGATTATGGGCGGCACAATGACCGGAGGGTTGACCACGGGCGGTGAGATTCTTGGTGGAGGTTTGACTATGGGCGGCGAGACTCTCGGCGGAGGTTTGACAACGGGCGGCGAGATTCTAGGCGGAGGTTTGACCACGGGTGGCGAGACTCTCGGCGTCGGAGGTTTGACTATTGGGTGGTGGTGCTTGGGCGGCCGGGACGGTGGGTGAGGGCGGTGCTTGGGAGGGGATGGACGGTGGCCGTAGGGAGGGTAGGGCGGAGGGCAGGTGGATTGGCAGGCGTAGGCGGGCGGGAGGGAGATGAGCATGCAGAGAATGCAGACAAAGAATGTTGCGGTGGTCTTGGTGGCCATGGCCATGGAAAGGCTTTGTTTTTATGTTTTTTCCTTTTTTATTTTGTGTGTGTGGGTGGGGATTGTGATGGTTGATTTTATAGGATATTTTGAGGGCGAAATTGTGTAATTGGCCCTTTATCTTGTAATGTTTTCGATGTTGTCCCAATTTAAAGTCTTTTAGAGCATGTTTGTTTATGTAAAGTTTTGGTTTTGTTTGGATTTTTTAGTTTGGTTTGGTTAATTTTGAAAAAAGTGGTATGGTTAGTTGTTAGTGGGTATATTAAAATAATATTTAAAATAAAATAATTAAAATTGAGTTGATGTAAAAGTAGGAGAGAGATTAGTGAAGTGATGACTAGTTAAAATAATATGAGTGGATGAATAGTGAATTAAGGTTGATGTGGTGTGTATGAATGATTGATTGATATTGTTTAATATATTAATAATATTGATGATAGTGGGTTGAGTTAAAGTTGAGTTAAAAAAAGTGGTTGAGTTAAAATGTTGAAATTTTTTTGAAAAATTTTCATAAACAAACATGCTCTTAGTTTTTGTGAAAGGGATATACATGTAAACAAAAATTCTATGGAGCCATCGGATGGTTTTTTTATAGAGCCATCCATCACTTAATGTATTGACACTTGTCTAAAGTGTATTTATTGCAGGACACGTGTCAATACACTATTAGTGAATAAGTGTGGATGTCTTCATAAGCCGAGCTATCCGATGACTCCATAGCAAAACTGTACATGTAAATAGGATCATATAATTAAGAATGAGTCGGAGTGAGAGAAATAAAAATAAATTGTAGCAATCAAATTCGATAGATCGACGCTCCAGGAGGAACCGTCAAAGGCTTTAGCTTTGGTTAAAAGGGATGTGTGCATTGTTGTAATTATGTGGACTTTAAATTTTTCACATGCACGAAAGTACTTTAGTCATTTGCGCATAATACATTGTTATATTAATGTGCAGTCTGACAATCATTAATGTACGCTTTAGTCTAACACTATTGTGCAAACTGCAACACGAGTATTTTTTATGTGCACATCTACACACAATATTGGCACTTTATCAATATTGTGCATTTATTAAATTTTTGAAAAATTATATATCTAACTCATGAATTAAATTTAATATAGTTAATTTATTTTTTAAATTGTATATAAGTCCTTGAAACTGATCTAATTGTTAAATTAATGCTCCATAAATTGATTTGGTTGTCTCGTTCATCTCGTACCCATCGTCTGCCGGAGTCTCATCCACTACCCCGCCTCATCATTCTCCTCGTCGTCGTAGTCGTCGTGCAATGGCAAAAAAATACGAGGTGATCTAAGAAGACCTGCCGTAGAGATCGGCGAAATCGGCGACGCGTGGTGGGTAAATGGAGGTGTATCAGGCGAGTTCGTTGCGTGTGGCGTGGAGCTTCGTGTTGGACTTGCTTGAGCTCGGGGTTGAGTTTTAAAGAATTGGACTCAAGTTTTAACGAGTTGAGCTATATAAAATTAAATAAAAAAAAGCTATCTATCAAATCTTATCAAGCCGAACTCAACTCATTCACTAAATGAGTTCGATTTACTTAATAAACGAGCCACTTTGTAAGTAATTGTGGAAAGCTCTGTATAAGTTTCCATATCAATACTCAATTGGTGTTTTAGAGCATCTCCAATGCATAAATATTGTTATCACATAAATTTTGACAAATGTCAATTATTTAGATGGATTGTGAACCACATAAGATATTTGTTAAGTTCACAACTTTAAATCTAAAAAATTATCTACAATGCACAGTGTGATCAAACATAATATTGTCCACTTGACAAAAATAAAAAAATTATAAATAAGAAACAAAAAAATTAAATAATTTAGATATTTTGAAAATGGTAATAATATTTCTCTCTCATCTCTCAATTGATTGATTGGAATGTGAAAGAGAATGTGGATGAACCACGTTGTTCTCTATATTGTGGACATTAATTATGTCCACCTCATCACTACATTTGTGATTACATTGTGCATTGTAGGAATAAAAGTAGAGACATTGCTAAATTTATCAATATAAAGTGTAATTTACTACAACTACATTTCACCATTGAAGATGTTCTTAGATATCAATTCGATTCTACTTTCGTCAAAATTCACCAGGCTTAATTAGCCAGAGTGAATAAATTAGGAATATTAAGGTTCTAATAGATTGTAAAGTTATGTAATACTATCTTTTATGATTACACCAATCTTAGTTGGGTTGTTTTATGAGTTGAAATTAAACACATAACTATAGTTAAAATTGAATGGACATACCAAAAGATTATAATTTACATCGTATTCGATTGCAATTTCTATATAAAAACTATAACACCATTAATTTATAATATAAAGTTACAATAATATTAAATACATAAGTTCTTTTTATATATATTACTCATTAATATAAAGTAACATACTAATAAGTAATATAATTATTTATGATACATGTGATGCTAGATTTTAAGTTATATTATACTTTTAAATAAATAAATTTTAATAATAGAATAAATTATTAAATACACAATTTTTATTTTTTATATTATTTTTTTGAAAGAACCATCAAGTAAGAACATATAAGTCAATTTTTAAAATATTACTTTTAATTAATAACTTAATTATTGAAATGTCACATGTCAGATTTCAATATGGTTATTATCAACATGTATTTACGTGCAACTCATCTTAATTACCATTTGATTATACAAATCTCAAATCTTAGAATCACTCATAATTCTAACTTTTTACATGATGTTTATTTTACTTAATTCTGTAATGACTTTCGGTGGAAATCAATGTTGTAGGACAAATTTTAAAATCCAACTAATCGAGGACTTAATTTGTAAAACCATTAAATACCATAACAACAAATAAAAATAAAAAATAATTAAAAGAAAAAAAGATAGGCATGACTAATTTTGTAATTTGGCCAGAGATTGGGACGACCCGTGAAAGGTGGCTGACAATATTTTGATATGGGAGACCCATTTCCCCATTGTCAGAAGTGATTAATTTCAATATTGTTGTGTTTGAAAATTACAAAATTGATAAAAATATAATTATTTACGCTAAATTCTTATAAATGTTTACACATAAACAATACAAGTTTATGTGTAGTTCAGCAGTACCAAATGATGTGGTGATTTGGATACCAAATTAATAATGATATATTCAGACACGTTTTAATGTATGAATTGAAACGAGCGATTTGTTGAAAGCACAATTAATTAACGAGCGAAACTTGACTCGACTCATTAAAACTCAAAAATAAATATTTTTTCAGATAATTAATTTATATTATTCGACTCGAACTCGATTACTGACTCGTTTATTTAACGAATCGAGCTTGACTTAATTCGTAAAACACTTGAACTCAAACTAAAGTACCATAAGATTAAGCAATTCAGCTCGTTTACATGCTAAGGTGACTATTTCCTTGTAGTCCAACTAACTCAATTACTTTGTAGAAAACAGAGATAAACTTTGGGTAATTTTGAGATAAAAATAAGCGATCAACCCTATCTTGAATGGAATGGATAATAAAATATTGATAATAGAGAAAATACATAATAATGTGAAACAACTGGGAATTTTTGTTCTTTTGTTGGCCGCTTGCAAACTTCAATACAAGTCCGTGACTTACAAATTCAATCCGTGAAGATGATCTTTTAAATTTCAGTACAAGATGAAGTTTGCACGGATTTTCATGACTGCATCCTCTATCCTATTCTCCTTTATTTATATTTCCCATTATTCTTAGTGTGTGTTTGTGTGTAAGATTTTACTGAGCCCTCCAATTAAATCATAGAGAATGTAATTATATTAACAGAATCAGGGCATATCAACAATCTAGTTTGTCTGGTTTTTTACATTATTTTATAAATCATCGATCCCACATGAAATTTAGCAATTGGTAGTGTTTGGTAATTGGAGGTTTGAGATAAAACTATAGAATCAGGCATAATGCTCTACGTGTTTATGCTATAAGATGTTTCTAGTCTTATTTCTTAATAGGTAGATAGGTGGAGATTTCGATTTTCTATTTTCTATTTTCGTACTTAATAAGATTAATCTCAATAGGTGGACAAGTCTAGTTTTCAATTTCTATTTTTGACTTTTTACTTAATAAGGTTTGACTCCACTCATATCTCAATTGTATGATTACTCTTAAGCAGTGTTCTAAAAGTTATTAGGCGTTCGCTAGACAATGTGTACTGGAGTTTAGGTGTCCCGACGGAAACTAGGCGGCGTCTAGACGGACGGTGAAAAAATATTAATAAATTTATTTATATTTATCTTATCATACATACTTTATAAGATATATTATTTAAAATATATTTATATAATAGAATCAAATTCAATAAGTTATGAAAAATCTAATATATTCATAACTATTGTATAAGTTTTTAATATAATTATTGATATTTTTTATTACATAATTAATGTAAATTTCATGCATAAAAATAATAATATTTTTATTTAAAAAATAAGGTAATAAAATTGAATAAGAAAATATAATGGCGTGCTAGGCGCCGCCAAAACCGCCTAGGTCGGCTGGTGAGCTTAGATGTGAGTAACTTCGCAATCGCAGAACGGCTAGGCATTGCCTAGTCCGCTTCAACGTTGTCTAATCATTCGATATATTAAAATGACCGTTCAAGTCAAAAGTCGGCTAGTGAGCTTAGACGTGAGTAACTTCGCAATCGCAGAACGGCTAGGCACTGCCTAGTCCGCTTCAACGTTGTCTAATCATTCGATATATTAAAATGACCGTTCAAGTCAAAATTGTGGTACTTACCGATTTTCAGAATAGAGCTCCAAAGTGAATTCGATAAATCTTTCAAATATTTTGTGGCAACAATTGTTATGGTTCTTCTTGTTGTTGAAAAAGAGTCGTGTTTTTTTTTTTTATTTTTTTTTTTTTTATNTTTTGGGTTTATTCTTCTTATATTAGTATCCATACCACGAGTATGATAATATCATGAAATGACATCGCATTA